TTTCCTGAGAAATAGAGGCAATCTGTTTCTTCAAATCATATACTCGAGTACTATTGCCTTGACTATATCTATCGCGAAGCTCGATCCACACCTCTCTGGCAGAATCCTTGTGCATCACACTGGGATAGAGTTCCTTAGGGATTGAATTGATAATCCATGAAGAAACCACATGGTTACATCTACGCCAAACACTAAACAGAGGATCGTCTCTTCTAGGTTTCTCAATTGATCCATCAATGAATCCTTCCTTGTTTTTAACACTAAGAGCCATGATAACAGCTCGACTCCAGGTAGGATAGTTGTCCTCAGTTAGAATAAATAAAATAATTTGCATTCCTGTATTATCTCCATGACGAAGATAATAAGGACCTGCTGGATCAGAAATCAATTTACTGAGATTAGAATTGTTGTCGTCAACTGCCATTTTTCCCACAGATGAATCGCCAGACGAATTGGAATGATCGAACTGGCTTTGTAGATCTTCTGCAACATTCGAATTTTCTGCCATTAAGCGGAATTTTTAATTGTATTTCTCTGATACCATGATAATTTGCAGAGGATTGAAAGAGACGAATAAAAGCGGGAAAAAGATTTCAATTAAATAGAATAATTCACACTTAGTTCCAACTCCAACCTCCCATTTATAGATGAGCTGAAGCTTGAGCTCACAACATGAGGATGAAGAGGGAAAAGCACAATTACATAAAAGGGCATCTATTTTAATTGGGCCAATCTAAATGGACTAAACTAAATGGGATGGGCTTAACAAGTAGTAACAGATGACTACCCATCAGTTATGAGAAAACTAGTTGGAGACCGTCTTCCCCAATTTACACAAGAACAAGCTAAGTTGGTGAAAGGGTCTAATGATTTTCTAGACATAAATTATTACACAACTACTTATGCTAGCAATTCACCTAGTGAACCTGGTACATCACCAAGTTATGCAAATGATCAAGATATTGCAGTATCCAGTAAGTATATGGACCTTGTTCATGTATCAATATAAATTAACCTTCATTAACACGTGACACTCACTCTCTCAATCATTTGTAGGTGAGCGTGATGGAATACCTATTGGTCCAAAGGTATGTCTTTTAACTTTGTCGTTTTTAGAAAGAAGATTAAAAAATAGAATGGATTATCCCAATCTATTTGGTAGTGGGCTGTGTCATAATTGCAACTAGATTGAATGACTACCCTTTTATTCTGTATCTTATAAAATATTATCATTTCTTATACCGGGACGGTTTGGATTGGTTGTACATTATTCCTTATGGGATTTACAAGTTGTTGGCTCATGTAAAGGAAACATACAATAATCCAATCATTTACATTACTGAGAATGGTAAACTCATATCATGTTAATTTGACATTTTTTCTCTTGTAAGATAAGAAACATTTGTTAATATTTACCCTGTTTAACATGATTCATTGGATGGCTTAATCTGTGTAGGGGTGGATGAATGAACAATACGGCACTAACATTCTCAGAAGTTCAACTTGATGAGACGAGGATTAAATACCACCAAGATCATCTCTTTTACATTAAGAAAGCGATGGAGTAAGTCACCATTTATATAATTATGTATCATATCTCTAAGAAAATTGTAAATTATGGAATTATTTAACTATTTTATTTCGAAAATTCATTGTTCGTGATTTTTCTTTCATTTACAGTGAAGGCGTAGATGTGAAGGCTTACTACATATGGTCAATGTTCGACAATTTTGAATGGGGACGGGATACAATGTTAGATTTGGCCTTTTTTATGTAAATTTCGTGAATGGCCATTTCAAAAGATTTCCAAAGGCCTCTGTTGTATGGTTGATGAATTTCCTGAACAAAAAGCGAATTACATTAAAGCGGCAAGCTCAAGAAAATGAAGAAGAGAATGGATCAGTGAAAAGGCTAAGAAGCACTTGAATGTAAAATTAATCTGGTCCTGTTTCATTTGAATGTGTCATGCATGCATTTTTTCTTCATTTTTTCCTCTTGTTGATTTACAACTATCAATTTTTTATATTTAATAAATGGAATTCTATTGTCTTTTTTTAGTTTATTTTTATTTTTAGTGAACCACAATATTCGTGTATTATTTATGAATACACGCAAAAATAAGAAGAAAACTAAAAATTTTGATCGACCCCGTTACAGAAGAAAGAGAAAAAAAAAAATTTTTATACTAACATGATTTACTAGATGAAAAAAAAAATTTTCTTTTCATATTTCGCGTGCCATTCTATGTTCATCGTTCATCGTGCAAATATTTTCTTAACCTGTGACTACTTTCATAGCCACTGTGTTCTTCAAAATATGCCAGTGGAGGTCTAAAACTAGTAGCTCGGATATCCAATCACTTCTTCAGCTCTCCTTTAGACGGATAAATTTGTTAAAAGTCTCATAGTAATATTAATATGATGCAACTACTCCAAATATAGATATTCCCATCTTAACTGAATTTTTATGCCCCATTTTGTTCACATTGCTATCCCCTTGTTGAAAAATTCCTTGAGCACAGGAATTTTTGACAGATTTTTGTCAGAAATTTGAAATGCTTCAATCTTTTCCGTGTGAGTGTATTTTCCCTTCTCCAATCTTTCAGTCCTTTCCCTTCATTTCAAATTTCTCTATATTTTCCGTGAAAAATTCATGTACTCATAGTAGGGTTCTCCCTTGTTTTTGGTGTTGACTGTTCAATGGAATGAATTACGGGGGCGAATCTGGGGAAGTCAAGGGTGGCTTCCACCATACAAAAGAAAATGAATATTTTGAGCCAGTTTGCACGTCAATTTTGGATTACAACTCTCAAATCTTAGGAAAAGTTCTTGATATTGTTTTGAACTATTCACTGCGTACTTCTTAATAAACCGTTCAATAACAAAATTGCTAAGTGATTGCAATTGAAGTAATTTGCAGCATATTTTAACATGAGTTTTGGGTTAAAATGCTTACTTAAAGTGTTGAATTCCAAAATCTTTTGAATGGTTGAATCACCTTGTTTTCCAAAACTCCAAATCCACAATTTTCTTGCACTCCAATGGTCACAATCTCAATCACAATGGAAGGAGATTATTAGCCACGACCTAAGTGTCAATTTTTGTCAGTTTTCTTGTCAAAATAGTGGTTCTAGGTACCTTTCAATTTTGGTGATATTTTCCATACGAATTTTCACCATTTTATTGATATTTTTTTCCCTCTCTTCTAAGTGCATAAAGTTATGGGAGATATGTAAAAACTTGGACGTGTGGGAGTTGAGAGAAGTTATGAGTTTTAATTCTTTTCAAACCACTCCCTCCAATTTACTTTAATAACTTATGGGTCGGGTCACCCCACATGGACGACCCATGACCCATATTTTCTAACATCTCCCACTCACACATGATGGGCATTATCCGAACCACAAAGGACAGCGAATGTCACACGTTAGATCTTTCTCAAAATCTATCTCACAAAAATTCATACGACAAATAGATCGTGCGACCAACGAGTATATTAGAGCTCACGGTACTATAAACTTGTTAGGGATAAATAGTAGCTCTACTAGAGGAACATTACATCTTGCTATACCCCAAACTTATTTTCCAACATTAATTCAACCATTTCCAATCTCTCAAATATTTCGGGAACATACTTGAACTCCACATCTTATCATTGTATTCACAATTGTGTTATATGCCCTAAATGGTTAAACACAATTGTCTGGTCGGTGAATACAAATATAAATGTTTGTCAAAATAATTTTTCTTTCTTACTTGATTACTTCAACTTTAAATCAACTACTTTATGAGACATGTCCCATCAAACCGAATCAATCATATTTATTAGCAACACGCTAAAGTAGCAATACCGAAATAAATTCTCAAGAAACAATTAAAAGTCATAAGGGTAAATATGAGGTTATATAAACCTCAAGGTCTCACACAATGTGTAAGCAAGGATCCATTCACTCATTTACCTAACATTGATCGTAAAAGCACACGTGTTATGAAACACGCGGTACAATGTTTCTCACATTCTTAGTACGTATGTCATATCCTTTATAAACAAGCAACACCTTACAAATCTTCGTTTAGGTATTCCCTGATACCTACCTTGAATTCTCTTTATGTCATTCCTCCAAGCAATCTCAAATCGAGAACTCTATCTGGCTACTAAACAAGTTAAATGGATTAGCAAAATCCATTTCAATTACTTGTTGCAATCTCATCTTGATATCTTATCAAGACGACTGGATCATGTACACAGCATGATCATTATGTCTCATCTCAACACACTCCAAAATGTCTGAGGTGATTGCTCATGTAAGTGAGTCAATCTCAACCTGTTTTACATACTTTATATATGCATGTAAAATATTATCTCGTAAT